GATTCAGAAAAAGATTTATAGAAAAAAATTGTAAAATGGTGAATTTTTGCACTGTGCATCGAAAGAAAGCTTCGTTTTTGGGTGGACACGAGCTTCTGTTTGTTCACTGTGTGTCAAAACAGCCTTTAATCTTGATTCCGGAAGGATTACCGTGTGATGAACTAGTTGAATGTCGTGAGGTTGATGTTTATAGTTGAAATTGTTCGCTGTCATTGCGGTAGTCCTGCACTGGTACAAATTCACTCTAGTTGTGTTTTTAAGGTAAGATGATTTATATAAAATATAAATATAAAAATGCTCTCATCTCATACTGTATTATACTATAAAATTATATATTAAAGTGCAGTCATCTATGTCTATCATGTGATTGATATATTTCACTTAAAATTGTTGTAATACAGCAGTACTAAACGTATTTTTATTTCATATCATGTAGTTCTTCGACCCTAATGGTCCACGGGAAGGAGGTATAAACAAAGAATATAACAATGTTATGTTGTGGGAGTTTGACATTTCAACATCACCAACATCCCAAGCAATCCCACCATGTGACCCAGATAGTCAAGATGATGAGCTGGATAGTGTATTTCCACCAATAAAATTACATCAGCCAACTGATTGTAACTGTTTTAATTTACCAATAAATCCTGTTTGCCCTGACAGACATACATACACACCGAACGATGGAAGAAGCGCCCAGTAGTAGCACTTGTTGTAGAGAATGAAATGGAGGAAATTCAGCACTATCGCAACACTATATATAAATGTATTGACTACTGTGTGATGCATTGCAAGGATTATACTGATCAACCAGTTATCTATGCTCAAATGATCAACCAGTTGTCCTTTATTTTACTCTGCCTAGCGCCAGATTATTTTACTGTCTAACACTAGACTATTTACTCATCAGGGGGAGAGTGCTGCCGCTCGATGGGTTAAAAAACATTCAAACACAATGTTTGGCAGAAGCTGCAAAATTGTTTATTGGTGTCTGGTGTGATACTTTTATTTGTAAGGATAGAGCTGGGGAGCTTCTAGTGGTACAGTCTTGGCCCTACCCCAGTTTTCCTGTACGGCCGTGTTTTCCTCACTTCCCTGATTCTACCATAAGTATTGTATCCCATGGACACCACCTTATCAGTTCTGCAGTTTTTTGACACACTACCGTAAACCTCCAACTATAAGCCGGGCTTATATTCTTTCGTAAGCAATTTTTGATGGGCTTACACAAGGGGGGGGGGCTTATATACAGGGGGGTTATATTTGGAGGTTTATGGTGTGTATGGTTTTCATGATTTTCAGTGTATATAGCTCATCACAAATTAATAAAAAGATCACACACTACATGATTGATGTTGATAAAATTTATTTATTTTAAAATAAAAAAAATATTAACATAATATTATTGTACTTAAAGATAATTAAAATGTTTTTAAAAATAAAATTTTATGCGCACAATTTTAAAATGTTGCACACATTCATTTCACCAGTACACATGGATGCTATATGATGACGTATATGAAAAGTGATGCTTTTGCTCTAGCTTAATGATGCATTAAAACAATCTAGAGGTATTACATAATTGGTAAATCTCTTCAATCGTAATCATTTGCATGATTGTCTGCAACAGATATGAATTCAATGAATGCTTTATATTCCTCAAATGTCCATTTATGAAGTTTTACTGGGAATTTCTTTGGAGGAGTCAGTTTTCTGATAGGAAACTACAAAACAAACAGCAAAAGTGAGAGGGGCAATGTTAGTGCCAGCACAATTAGACAACAACAAAGAAACTCATGGATTTTCACCAGGATTGTGGGCATGCTTCTCCAGGAAATTTGTGCACTATAGCTTTTCTGAAATGCCACTCCCAGCATTGAAAAATATCATTGGCGTACAGGTGGACAGAAATTGCCCGACATTGTCATGAATTTATCAATTTGATAGATGAACAAGAGGTATAAAATAGAAGGAACATAACTCCTATACAGGCTTGCAGCAATACTGTTTAAAGTAAATCTTAAAACAATTGCCCAATTTTTAAAGCAAAATTCTGCCCAACCCCAGCCTCGTACGCCTATGGACAGAAATTCTCACAAGCAAAAACAGTATTAAAATACAATGTTACTGTTACTATAATAATAACTTTTAGCCCCCCCCCCCCCATTAACATCTCATTGTCTCATTAACCCATTGAGTGGCAGCTCACTCTCCACCTGACAAGTGAAATCGTCTGGCGTTAGACAGAGTAAAATACTAAAGTAGGGTGCATCAGAGAGCATTGCCACTTAAAGGGTTTAAAATACAATGTTTTTGTACAGTTGTACTGTATTTTATGTTTGTAAAAACCTTTGTACTTTTATACCTTTGGTGATGTTCCAGGACTCTGAAACAAAGTTTGACTTGATGTTGAATTCTTCAAATGTGAAATTCTGTGTCTCTTATTATTAGGTTTCCCTTGGGTATCACCCTTAGAAGTATATACCCGTTTTGTAGCAGTATCATCCAGTTTTACTCCAAAATAGCCGAATTCTATAATAAAATGAAAAAAATACAGTCAGTGCAGCATAAGCATATCTAACCTTAAAAGTTACATTAAACTTAAAATATGTAGGAACATAATTATATGTGTATGTTTCAAAATTATCATGGAAAATAGCGATTCGTACAATAGTTTCCTTCGCGCCATGATGATTATCACGCGATCTATTCCCGCCATCGGCGATAGAATATAGCAGAAGTACCCCATTTTCAAACCGCGATTACTAGTCAGTTTCGTCGAGCTACTTTGAGTTTTAAAGTACTAATTGAAAGAACAAACTTTCCTTAATTCGATGACGTGTTTTATTTTAATTTCCCCTCAAAAAAATGAATATAGCTTCTGCATTTTTTGAAAGCCACTTTTGTGGCGTGCACACTGACCCGAATCAAGCATAATTACAAGGCGTAATTAACATAACTAAAAAACAATTCCTGTACCAAACAAGTCAAAAATAGTTTAATTAGGTTCTTAAATAATACAAATATAAACACATACCTTTGAAAAAACGAGATATACGGAGCCAAAATCGCAATGTATTTCAACAACTTTTCGCCAAATGTTCGTTGAAAATCGTAATTGTGAATAATAATGAGATGCAATGCATTGTGGGAAGACCCTCATTCCTCCTCTGGTTTAAGCCGTTTAACTATTCATTTTATTCTAAAAAATCAGCCTTTCGCATGCTTAATTAATGCCTTTACCTAATTTGCATATTGCTAACATATGCAAATTAGGCAAAGGCATTAATTAAGCATGCAAATAGCTGATTTTTAGGAAAAATGTAACTTTGCGTGAATAGTTAAAGGGCTTAAACTAAACCAAATTGTCTGAAATTTTGTACAGTAATTAAAAACCCGACAAATTTTCCATCTATTAACTCAAAATATGATTACAACTTTTAAATTTTGTGCGCGAGCCATTTTTAGTTTGTTGGAAAAGACACACCCCCCTGGTTCACAAAATTTCAGTTCGAGAAATTTTTTTTCATTATTCTGCATTATAAATACCCAAAGAAGCTATATATATAAAAAACTGGATACAAATAGGTGTTTTGCGAAATTGAGAGCAATTTCAAATCTGTTCAGTTTTTTTTTTGATACACCCTGTATATACATATACATATATATATATATATATATATATATATATATATATATATATATATATATATATATATATATATATATATATATATATATATATATATATATAGGATGGTTTCCATGGTACCAAGCTGCACTGACGAGGCGTTGAACGCCGAAACGTGCATGTCTGCAGATTGTACTATTACGCTCCTTCACTTCGGTGTTGTTGAGCACTCTGCGGAGTTGTTAATGGGTGTCTATCAGCAATGATGCAAAGCTCACTTCCCTTGTGGTCGTTTGAGCACTCTGGCCCCATTACGCTCTGCGCATGTTTTTTATTTTTTTAGTACTTTTCACCGTACAAAAATATATTGAATAGCAACTTACATTTACTGTCCAATGGGTCTTTTCTTGAATATTTGCAATGGCTACGACCAATGACAGTATGGCGGCGAATATTCCAATAGCGGCAGCAGACAAGAAAAATTCATGCCTCCCGTACATTCCTAGGTCGACGAGCAGTTGACGAGAGAATCCTGTACCACCAACTGTGTTGCCCGTCTCGTCAACAAAATACCCAACTACCCCAATGCCAACTACACAAGTAACCTGTTGTAACAAATAGTCAAATTTGCGCCTCTATATATAATGTTATCATGAGTCGGTGAAGAGAAGAAAGTTGAGGGAGGGTTAACTTAAAAGTTAATAAAGATTAAATAATTTGAGGGGCTTGTGCGAGTCTAAACTCTGTGACGCTTTTCCACAGTTGAGATTGCTTCATACATGATTATGAAATCTTTTCTGTTGTCCAAAAATATCGAAACTCTATACATTTAATTTACGATACATCCAGCTTTCGAACGTATGCAATTCCTGCTGCACACAGCAAACACACAAGTTGTGGCTTCACTATTGCATCATTGAGTGTAGTATTCACACAGTATTTAGTATAATATATAAACATACGTGGCTATAACAGATATTTTTAGCTTACCAGCTCCACTATCGCCAGCGTGATAAGAGAAATCCGCTTATCTGATTGTGCCATTACTGAACCTAAATTAAAGCAATCCTGCACTGCTAAATATGTTGTAAATGCTCCGTCCGAGCTGAACTCACGGATGAGGGCGCTTGAGTGTTAATTCTGTCCAGTTAAGGTCCAGTTACACGTGCGATTTTTTTCTCGCGCCGGCAACGCAACGGGTTAAATTTCATTGCGTTACTTGCGCGAGTGATGAAATTGCCCGCGTGTAACATATCTGGCGCGGTAACGCAATTGCAACCCAATATTCTCGGCAATCGTTGCGGAAAGTTGAAATGCCTGAACTTTCGGCAACGATTGCCGAAAATATCGAATTACCCAGGCATTGTTTGAGCAGGAAACGCATGGGCTATTTTAAGATAGCCAATGAAATTCGCTTCTGTACGGACAGCGTGCTGTAGCGCTGCCAAATATCGAAGCGATTATTGTGTCTTTCTTGTAAAGCGTTTCAGATAGATTATCAAATATCTTTTTGAAATGATCAAAATCCATTCGCATAAATTTTTCAAATCCTGGTGTGTCGTGGGCAGCCAGATCGGGAAGAAGCTGACCGAAATAACCTTTGTTTTTTCTCTCTAGAAGCCAGTGCCGGCTCCAAATACGTTTCTTTTCTTTAACCTCCTCGTCATCTTCTTCCAGCAAAAGCATTGCAGCTATGACCACAAGTTTTTTTTCGACGCCATGTTGCTGTCAGTGACGTTTGCGAATTGCGAACACTAGTGTCCGGATTTTCATGCAAATAGTTGCGACGCGGCTAAGCTATCATTGCTCGTGTCACCACTTCACTCGCGCAAGTAACGCAATGAAATTTAACCCGTTGCAAAGGCGTTGCGTTGCCGGCGCGAGAAAAAATTCGCACGTGTAACTTGGCCGGGAGATGGGAAATGCAAGTTAATTAATAAACGCAATAAATTGTACAACTTCCTTAATAATCCTTATATAGTAGAACTTCACAAACAGGCATCGCTAGAGATCGCGGACATTTGGAATTAAACTCTGTAACTCTGTGTGGTTGACCACAGTCACTACGGACACTTCCCTGATGCAAGATTAATTTAAATTACCTATGAGTGGCCTTATAAAAGCAGGCGGCAATAGATAGCAAGCATGCACAACTGAACAAGCTCGCTTACAATAAAGTGACATAATCGTCCCAGTCCTCGTATTCACTCTGTTATTCAACTTTTATCAGGAATGCAGATTGTTATCCAATTTTTTTGCATAAACTTTAAGAATTATACCAAACTAAAATAGACCTTTCCCCTTTTGAGTGAAATTTTGATCTAGACAAGTCTGAATAAAAATTTCATCACAGCTCATTAAATGATCAAACTGATTATCAATTTTCCATTTGTAATACAAAATGACTGAAAAACGGCAAACTTCGCAGAGCTATATTATTCTCATTTTACAACATTTTGCAACGAAACTTCGGAATATTACTAATTTTGTGATGCTCTTTCAAGCTGTGATGAAATTTTTGTCTAGACTTGTCTAGATCAAAATTTCACTCATAAGGGGAAAGGTCTATTGTACAGTGTGGAAACAAAATTTTGTAAACTAATCCAGGAAATATAAGAAAACTAAACCCAATAATAAAATCAGATAATCATTTAAAGTACTCAAAACTGGGCAACAACACTGTAAACGTACGGGCAGGATTTGTAACTAATTTATCGAAACGACAATATAGCCAACCTTTTACAAAGTCGTAACGGCTTAATGATCGATGAACTTAAAAATGTACAGTGAAATTTAAATATGCAGATATTAGTTGCCGAAATAATTGTTCGCATACCTTAATCTGTGCGGCTGTCAATGATTATTTGTTTCATTCCAAGTTTGCATAAAATCGAAGGTTCGTTTATTATACTGTATAGATATTCACACAGTCATCAGGTTCATTTCGCAGTCTGGCGATACATTTTTAGGCAAAAATGGGCGAAAATATATCATTCTAAAGTTATTTTCTTCTATTTTTTGTTTGTTTACATTTTGTAATGCTTTTAGTACGCTTACATTTTGTAATCCTGCTAATCCTTTTAGTCATCCTTTTAGTTATATATATTTAGAGGTATATACTTAAAGGATGTTTCGGGATTCAAATGTCCGCGATTTCTAGCGATGTGCGTCTTTTCGAGGATCTTCCAAAATTGTTTTGGCCGATTTTACCTCACATTTCAACGCGGAAATTTGTTGTCAACTAAGAGCTAACACTAGGAAAATAAGTTGCAACAGGGATGTTATTGGCCTGTTTCAAAACGTCGCATTTTGCACGTGTGGAATTCAATAGCTTGAATTATGAACATCCAAAATTCGACATCTCAAACAATTATATTCGATGTTTCTAATTACGATCGACCGTGATTACTTTAAATTCCACCAGTGCTGTCGCATAATTCAAGCAACGTAAGACCTGGTTTCAGACAAGTCATTTTGGATGTGCCAAATTAAATTCGGTTGGGGTGGCTTTAAAGATTTCATTGAATGTTGTTGAAACGCAACATCTTCGCACTTGGAAATGATAAATCTTTGGAAATTTCTAAAGTTTCCGACACATTTAAGCTTAAAATTTCTTAAGGCCCTGTCACAATATTGCGTATGAGAGAAACGTATGAGAAGCGTATGAAAATTAATGAAATAATTTTCATACGCACAAAAATCCTTTGAAATGCCAGTGTATGAGTAGCGTACATCTGGCGTACCTCTGCGTATTCAGCGTGTGCCTATAGAGTATGCTTATCGTATAAAGCATATACGTCCGATACGCACAAAATTTTTGAACATGCTTAAAAAAAATGTTCTGCCTCGCCGTATGCCAGTGTATGCCACCGTATGCGACCGTGCTTGAAACGTATACAACCTATGCCTAACGGTCAGTATAATCTGCAGACTGCGGACTGCAGACCGGACTGGGTACAAAATGCAGACTGGGGGTATAAAATGCAGACTGAGGATAAAATGCAGACTGGGGGTGAATTAGGGATATTTTACAAATTCCCGCCAAGCCATAGTCGAAATGGACGAAGACAGCGATGTAGAGCAGTAGAGGTATTGATATTATATGAATATTTATATTATTCTCATTCAACCGTAAAACTTGATAACTTTAACACATTTCTTTACGTTTAATATTTGAACGTTTGTTATACGTTGCATTAGATCGGAACAATGAAATCTGGACGTTTTGAGTGTGAAATTGTAATGGTATATATCGTGTCGACTGTCAAGCACATGGTTTTGTATTAGCAATTTTTCATATTTTCAAGCGTTTCGCTTCTGTAATTCAAGTTCATATACATATATACACCAATAGTAAGCTTGCGTTTGCCGAGTTTTGAAACATATATGAGTAGAGTGCTTGTCGACAGTCGACACGATATATACCATTAAAATTTCACACTCAAAACGTCCAGATTTCATTGTTCCGATCTAATGGGCCCTAATGCAACGTAACCAAACGTTCAAATATTAAACGCAAAGAAATGTGTTAAAGTTATCAAGTTTTACGGTTGAATGAGAATAATATAAATATTCATATGATATCAATACCTCTACATCGCTGTCTTCTTCGTCCATTTTGATGAAAGTGACTAGCTTCAACATTAATCTTATCAACAAGAACGATCACGTGACTATGGCTTGGCGGGAATTTGTAAAATATCCCTAATTCACCACCAGTCTGCATTTTATCCTCAGTCTGCATTTTATACCCCCAGTCTGCATTTTGTACCCAGTCCGGTCTGCAGTCTGCAGTCCGCAGATCAACCTCGTACCCAGGGCTAGCCGCGAATTGAAGGCGGCGGCGTAGCCCTGGTAAACGCTGGTCACGTGACTCCAACATTACGTAATTGTTACTTTTTTTAACCGGGGGGTGAATGCTAGAGGTGAAACTCGAAGACAAACAGTTTTTATCTACGAAATTCTTCAATCTTCCCTGTGAATTTTGTATTTCAAGCTTTTCTCAAAGTACGGCGATCGATCAAATGGATCAATACTTTCTGTAGAAAAAACTCAGTGAGATTTGTTCGTATGAGACGTTTAAAAGACTTGGATATGTCGCTCAAAACGCTCGATCATTTGCACAGGTTTATGGCTTAGTACTTTGTTCAGTTTGTTGCGACTTGCGAAGCAAATGAATGCAAATTCAACTCTTGTATAATCACTAAAAGTTGGTTTGTAGAGGAACAACTTATACAAAAGATATGAATACTTGAGCTTCAAACTAGGGACAAGTTCATGGACATCCCTATAAACATATGAACATTGATATTTCACCAATATGTAAATATGAAGTCATTAAATATATAAAAGGATTGCTGTTGTATATGTACAAGTGTTGTGCTGTGGTATTTACGTTTTTAACCCTTTAAGTGGCAATGCACCGTACTTTGTTAGTTTACTCTGTCTAACGCCAGACAATTTTACTCGTCAGGTGGACAGTGAATGCTGCCACTCAATGGGTTAACATAGTCGATGAACATGGCAAATGATCCTTGACCGTGGTAGTGCATTTTTGCACTCGCTGGATGATATCGCAACCAAGCATTGTTTCAGAGGATGAGCCCTGAGATCATGCTGTGTAGCAATTGGAATCTCGTATAGAGCCTGCTCTCACATAAAGCAGGCAAGACTTTCACTCAGAAGCCAGGATTAATATTAATTCCCCAAAAATAAACACTTGGATACCGGACTGTCCCATCTGCCATATGTAGGACAAAAAAACATGCAGCTTGGACATGAACTGTTAAACAACCAAATCAGCATGATAAATATGTAAACAGTGTGATAATTTTTGCTTAGCCCAAACCAAAGCCAGTTTTCTAGAATTAATTTGCAGAATCCTAAGAATTGGACCTCCAACTAGCCTGCAAACAGGCTCTCTTTGAAATTTGAATTCAAAGAGCCTGTTTGCAGACTAACCTCCAACTTGAAGAGCTAGCTGTGCTAACCAAGTTGCATGGGCAACCCTGAATTGAAGTGACTAGAGCAAATCTTCAAAAAATAATAGCGAGATCAGATTTGACTTCCACTACTGCTATTGCTATCATTAACCAGATAAGTTTCATTTATCCAATCAAACAATCGGATGCAACTGCCAGATCAAGTAGTGGTAGTGGAAGTCAAATTTGAACCTTTCTATATGGATTTCAGAGAGACCAGTCATTATTTGCTGATATATTATTATAACTTGTATAATCAAAAGCTACAGTAACCATATATTCATTTATGACATTGAAAATTGATATATAATTATCTATAAAGTGAGAATAATTTTTAAAAAAATATTCATAACATAAAATTAAATGATTCATGCATGCTGGTGATTAAATAAACCATGGAGTGTGCATTCTGAATCTCTACAAATTCCTTGACATTATATTATTTTTCCAGTACAGTGTAAAACTATATAAATGTGACACAGGTTGCAGGTATTAGGTTGCATGTCCACCAGTGTGCTGAAATACCATCCAGTGACCTGGTCTTGTTCATTGTTACTTGCATCTTGCTTAATTCAACTGTTTTTGCCCCATTTCTTGTACCCATAAAGTTCTTTTCAATAATCTAGAAAACTTCAAAATCATTCAGTAAATTTAACTTAAAAATTTGGTGAAAGGGGTCAATAGATGAAGAAATCATTTCTTCTTGTTCATACATATGGCCCCCATCTCTGTCAGGTGTTAGAGTAGAAATTTATTGAAGCCTTCAGAAAATAATTATGGCTGCAGAGTTAGGCAATTTTTTTAAAGATCTCAAGGACACAAAAGGTATAAATGTAGGGGCAAGGGAACAAAAAATGAAATTTTGAGATTCGTGGGCAGGTTTTACGATGGGGTGCTAAACCTTTTCCCTAACAAATCCCTGACCAGCTGTAGTTGTCATGGATATTAAAAATACGTATTAACTCAACATTAAATAATGCTGAATAAATGCTGAAACTGATGTTTGACTATTGAAATATCCTAGCAGGTTAGGTTCATCAGATTTTAGCTTTGTCAACCTGGCCACTCTGTTATTACAGTATTATAATAAATGGCTTGATCATTTAAATAATTTCAGGTCATTAAATACACGTTTCTCGCAGCGATAAATCAATATTTTAAACGATAATCATGTGAGAGTAGAACTTTACTGAGAATCTGAGTATAGTATCATAGTCTGGCCATGTGTTTCTCAATATTTAAACTACAAATTCAGCTAACTATATTAACATACTGTATAAAATATATTAAATAGCCTTCGAAATATATATTTCATAAAGCTAGTCAGTGTAACAAATAATGGGAATCTGCTAAATAATTTGTAACAATAAAATAGTTCTAAACATTTTATAATTCATACTGTACCTTTTACTTGATGGAAATCATCACAAATTATAGTATGTACGAGGTTGGCTCCATTTTCCTTCGAAATCCGAAACGTCGCCTCCTTGGCGATTTATATGATGCGATATAAAAAGAAGATTGATGTACATTCGACGTATATATCAACGTAACATGTTAAAAAGAAAGATTACAACAAAAAATAAAAAAATACTGATAATCCGCGGCAATTCAAGTTCTATTCGTGAACTTTTCGTCGCCCCCCTGTCTTTATTTCCATAAAGCCCGCTCGCAGGCTAATACTCCAAGAATCTTGGAGTATTTGCTTGACACGTGACCAGCGTTTACCAGGGCCTCGCCCGCTTTGGCGGCCATATTAAAAAAATCGGGCGGGCAGGCCCTGGGTACGAGGTTGTCTGCAGATTATACTGACCGCTATGCCTAACGTACCCCTAGCGTATGTCAGCATATACCGGCGTATTAGTGGCATACGCTAGTATGATACGCAATAGTGTGACAGGGCCTTTACGTACGGCATTCCTAAATTTCGAATTACAGTATCATAAGGTACTTTTGCGGTATAGTTTGTAACAGATTGATCGCAGCATGGCATATGCTTTTATTCGAAAGTAGGTTTTGGACTATTCTTAAAAGGGTATATATATTCTTCGCAAATTCTTAAAATTTTGTCCATTTTTACCTAAATAATATTTTTATACGCAAAGTTTTCATGTCTTAATGTCTCAAGCTTTAAGTTATTCCAGGCACGAATTGTACTCGACACGTGCAAATGCATGCTCAATGCTTGTTCCAACAAAAATGTCGCGAGACTTGGTGATTGCAAGTTGGCCGCCTTAGAAATAGCCAAATTGCTACCTTGAGAGCAGAGCCTGATTTCCCCTCGCGTAGAAGATAAGGCTCTGCCGACTTTGTGTTTAATTTGAGTCGCGCATGTTCTGTTTGCAATATTATGTCAAAACATGTCAAAGATCACTTGTATTTTTAGAATGATTGCTAAACTTAGAGAACCAATCACATGCAGTTATCGCTACATGCTGGGCGCGTGCAACTGCACGTGCTGTACAATTACGACAATATAAACAATACAAAAACATTTTCAAATCGATAGCTTTGTCACTTGTCAGTTGTGAAATCAAACTATTACTATATGTGGGGTCGACAAGCAATGCCACGAATTTTCACCTGTTTACAACGTGTATATATTAAATACAGTGCTATAACCCATATGACCCTCGTAAAGCGAAATACTTTAAAACTTGTTTTATACATATTTAGTTAAATAATATTCGAAGTTTTGAAATGTCCTGTTACAGGGCTGAAATATTATCGTGGTTATTTCTTTACTATATATCGTACATGCTTCAGTAGACAATTTATTTTAAAACATGTCAAGTCAACCCATATATATATGTACATTAATTTAATTATTCTTTCGGTTCGCGTCCTTTGTTTTCACACAGCTTTTAGCAAGCAGCATTCGGTTTCCTGTTAAAGGTTTTAGCGGCTTAAGCTTGGTCTGGGAGTGTTTGCAACATCCATTTCTAGGTCGAAGATAGTCTGTTCGGCTGCGTGTTGACACAACTGCGTCGTAGCATTAATACTTGCATGTGCCATACTGTATTCAACTCCAGCAAGGCTAATCTGGGACAACCGAACTTGTGACAGTTGTGTAAAATATTGGCAAACAGAGAGCCTTATAGTTAGAAGAAAATTTATAAGAAAATGTTTCGGTATTACATTTGGTACAAATTAAAATCGAATTTTCTAAAATGTAATTTCCCCACAGTCGACCGTTTTCCTGGAATTTGCTATTAATCTATTCAATGTTTACGTAGTAAAACCCTTGCATACTAACAACTTGCCGTGACAACAGTTATTTGAGTGCAAATTTATAGCCTTTTCCTCAGCTATAGCATTAACTGGCTGTGATATCTGTGTGATATCTATCTTAACGTTAGGTTTTAGGTTTAGCCAAAGCTGTAGTTTTGATATTCATGCATTAATACCAATTGCTTCTTTCCGATAGCGATGCTTACAGTAAATATATGCAAACATGCAGATGTGCAATTTTTCTCCCGACGTACTTTATAATTTTGTCTCTTTTCACTCACTTTAACACATTTACGACGCGACATGTTCTAATAATCAATTTACAAAATATGTTTGAATTTATGTACTAATCCGTAAACTAAATTGATAGAAAGTTTCGGTGTGTCATCCTCGCTGAAATATAACGGTCTGTATTCGAAAGTATTTTCAATACTGTCCGACATGAATATAACTGCAAACCTTATCTGAATATTCGAATTGTGACAACTTTTACCTTGTAATTGAGTAACAAGTACTAACACTAATCGATCAACTATGCCTACCTTTTTCTCCGAAGCGCTTCTGTTGTAGTAAACCTTGATGTACCTTTCACTTGCTCTCCACTGAGAATGGCGCAACACTGTTGTGAAATGTGTGAACAGCAACGAGGTCGGGAATCTTCGAGTTAAGTTAAGCCCCTCGAGTTAAGCCACGCCCTGTTTTCCCAAGACCACGCCCTTTTTCAGAAAGGGCTTAACTCGAAGAACGAAACACGATTTGGGTCATTCGAGTTAAGCCCCGGGGCTTAACTCGAAGTTTGACAAAAAAGTTGTTGCTCGAGTTAAGCCCCGACTTTTGAAGTATGTCAACGAGTGCAATATTAAATTGTCAAATTTTCAATACAAAAAGCCGAAGCACAGAAATTTTCCCAAAAAGAACTCGTTATATATCGCTAATGTAAAACGATTATAAAAAACAATCACAACTATTATCGTTAACAATATTTTAGGTTTTTCATATTAAATTAATATTAAATTTAACAACAGGTAATTACTTTTAGTGAATCGTTTATCCACAACAAAACAACAAAACAATATAGAATCCTAACTCGTTCCTTTTGCTTCAATGTGCACAATATCGACAAATTAACAGTTTTACTGTAACAGAAAAGGTGCAACCTTCTCCCATCACCTTGAACAAAACTAATCTATTAAGAAAATGATCGAAAATGACAGCATGTAAAAACTAAAGAAAAAGGGAGGAAAGGGAAGGAATTTCGGTATAGAATGATCTGTCTTTGACAACTTGCGCCCAGAGACTCGCGCCTCATACGCACATGTACAGTCATTTTATTAGCCAAATGGTTACGAATCACGAATGGTTTCATTTGGGTAAACAAATTATCACGCGGAGAAATTGTTACATTTGAGTAACATACCCAAATGTAACAATTTATCCCCGTAATAATGGCGCTACGTTGACTTGTATTATTAAAAAGGGAATATTTGCTGGTCTTGTCTAAAAGTACACACGAGTGACCACGAGTGACCACGAAAGACCACGAATGACCACGAATGACCACGAGTTACCACGAATGACCACGAGTGACCACGAGTGATTTCTGTGTTTAAAAGTCATAAAATAATTATAAAAATCTATTTTATTTTTGCATAAAACTACACTTTTGCCCCAGAAAACTCCTGTTTCTTCACTTTACATGACACGAAGACGAAATTTATTGGACACATTGGGTAATGCTCTCCTGAACATTGCAATTTACTACTTTTGCGCTGAAAGTCCGTTACCATGGCGACAGCGCGTTTGGATAATTAAGCTCAAAATTTGCCTTTTTCCGGCCGTTTTTGCATAAAATACCTTGCTCGTATAATGATTTTTTTCTTCAATTTTAAAAAATTCTATGGAACGTTTCTTAGATTATTCCCTTCAATAAAATTTTAAGAAAAAAGGATATTGAGCTTGTTTAGCCGATATTAAGAAATGTGCAAAGTTTTAAAACAATTTACCGAAGGAAAAGGGAGAAATTTAGCTTTAATTTTGGCAGTTTTTGCGAGATGTGTAACCCCCCCCCCCCTCCCCCC